CATCAATACCTAGTTTATTGAGAGTTTTTTGCATAAACGGCTGTTGAATTTTGTCAAAGGCCTTCTCTGCGTCTGTTGAGATAATCATGTGGTTTTCGTCTTTGGTTCTGTTTATGTGGTGAATTACATTTATAGACTTACATATGCTGAACCAGCCTTGCATCCCCAGGATGAAGCCTACTTGACTGTGATGGATAAGCGTTTTGATGCGCTGTTGCAATCAGTTTGTCAGTATTTTATTGAAGATTTTTGCATCTGTGTTCATCATGGATATTGGCCTCAAGTTTTCTTTTCTTGTTGAGTCCCTGCCGGGTTTGGTATCAGGATAATGTTGGTCTCATAAAAAGATTTGGGAAGGATTCCCTCTCTTTGGATTGTTTGGAATAGTTTCAGAAGGAGTGGTACCAGCCCCTCTTTGTATGTCTGGTAGAATTTGGCTGTGAACTCATCTGGACCTGGGCTTTTTTTAGTTGGTAGGCTATTAATTGCTGCCTCAATTTCAGCCCTTGTTATTGGTCTATTCAGGGTTTCAACTTCTTCCTGGTTTAGGCTTGGGAGGATGCAAGTGTCCAGGAATTTATCCATTTCTTCCAGGTTTACTAGTTTATGTGCATAGAGTTGTTTGTAATCTCTGATGGTGGTTTGTATTTCTATGGAATCTGTGGTGATATCACCTTTATCATTGTTTATTGTACCTATTTGATTATTCTCTCTTTTCTTTTTTATTAATCTGGCTAGTGGTCTGTCTATTTTGTTGATCTTTTCAAAAAACCAGCTCCTGGATATATTGATTTTTTGAAGGGTTTTTTATGTTTCTATCTCCTTCAGTTCTGCTCTTATCTTAGTTATTTCTTGTCTTCCGATAGCTTTTGAGTTTTTTTGATCTTGCTTCCTTAAACCAACAAAGATCAAAAGAGAGAAGGACATTACATAATGGTAAAAGGATGAATGCAACAAGAAGAGCTAACGATCCTAAATATATACGCACCCAATACAGGAGCACCCAGATACATAAAGCAAGTTCTTAAGGACTTACAAAGAGACTTAGACTACCACACAATAATAGTGGGAGACTTTAACACTCCACTGTCAATATTAGACAGATCAACGAGATGGAAAACTAACCAGGATATCCAGGACTTGAACTCAGACTTGGATGAAGCAAACCTAGTAGATATTTACAGAACTCTCCACCCCAAATCCACAGAATATACATACATTCTTCTCAGCACATCACACCTACTCTAAAATTGACCACTTAATTGGAAGTAAATCACTCCTCAGCAATTGCAAAAGAACGGAAATCATAACAAACAATCTGTCAGACCACAATGCAATCAAGTTAAAACTCAGAATTCAGAAACTAATTCAGAACCGCACAGTTTCATGGAAACTGAACAACTGGCTCTTGAATGTTGACTGGATAAACAATGAAATGAAGGCAGAAATAAAGATGTTCTTTGAAACCAATGAGACCAAATCAGTATTTTCATTCATTTCATTAAAAGCAACACCTACAAAGCTCTGCCAAATAAGCTATTAGGGTTCCATTGAGGCTGCTGAGAGACAATGACCTTAAGATTATTTGAAGCCGTAAATGGCTGTTATTCTTATTAGACAGTTCTCTCAGGCTCCATCTTGGTTCTTTCAGAGGTGTTAACAAAGGAACTTCTAGCCCATGCTGGATTTTACTTAATTTGTTTCTTAATTTGAGAATCTTAGGGAAGGTAGGAATGAGAGATATTTTTGTTTTCAAATCCAGGAAATCTCATCTTTTTTATGTTTTGCAGTTCTTTAACTTCTCTCTCTCCTCTCACATTTTACTACAGCCAGTTGGAAATTAGGTGACACCTTCAGCACTGCCTGGAAATCTCCTTAGCTAGATTATGCAATTCAGTAGGTACATTTTCTATTTTCCATATTATTACAGGCAGCAGTGTTGGTAAACTTTCCACTAATACAAAGTTCTTCCAATGACCATCTGCTCAAAGGCCCACCAGGCTCCTCCCAACAGCCTCTTTGAGGCCCATTAGTCCTTCCTACTCTTCTTAGGGGACCTCCAGCTTATACCTCTGCTTGGCCGCAAACCTGCTCCCACATTTTAGGTTGTTGTTGTTGTTGTTGTTGTTGTCATTGTCATCATAGCGGCATTCCACTTCCAGGTACCTCAGCCCTCTCCCACTCATCTTTGTCTTTCTGTCATCTATGTTCTAGAGTCCTGAGTTCTTATTTTTGGATAAAAAGTGTATTAAAAACCGTATTTCCTATCTTATGTAGTGATAGGGTTGGATATAAACTCATTTACCTTATTTGAAATTACAAACTGACAAGTTTACTTGTTTTCATTTCAGATAAGTTCCAGGATATAGGACACGTTATTAAAAATCAAGTTTGATGCATTTCTTATTTTTGTGGGTTGTACCTGCTATTGAGTTCAAAATAAAGCAGACTGGTTCAGAGTTATTGACTTGAATTCAAGGATATTACAAATACTCTTTCATGTTGGTTATATTGTTTCTAGGTTAGTTCACATACGTAACACTAATTCCTTTAGAGAAAAGTAGTTTTAAGATAAAGATGAGCCATCCTTTTAAATGAACAAGCCGATTAGAAAACTTAATTTTTGTATGGGTAATATATTCACCTGGCTCAAAATTCAAAGAGTATAAAGGAGTATAGAGTGAAAATCTCCGTGCCACTTCTTTTTCCCTTGCAGCTTAGTGTTTTTCATTTGCATCTAAAAGTTATTTATTTGGGTTTGTGTATATATAATTCCTGAGCTATTTTATTAATCTATAAGAAAATATTTGTAGTATTATATTCTCCCCCTTTTTTATATAAATGGTAGCATATTATGTCCTTGCTTCCCCCCCCCCCCGACTAAATGATAAGGATAAGGTTTTGGAAAGTTTTTCATGTTAATACTAAGGTACTTCCTCATTATTCCTTATGACCACAAAGTATTTGTTTTATGGATGTATTATAATTCCTTTAACAAGACTGACAGATACTTTCATTTTCTCTAATCTTCCCTGAAAAGCCCATCCTTCTTCATTGCCCTCAGGGCTGCTCAACTAAATAATCTTTAAAATAATATTTTACCCAATGTGAGCTTATTTGTTGGATAAATTCTACACGTGTAATGCACATTTGTAGTTGTGACAAATACTGCAGAATTACTGTCCAGAGTAGTTTGTACCAGTTTCTGTTTCTATATAATGCGTATTTCCCCATGCCCTTTGCCAAAATAGTATGTTATGAAGTGGATCTTTGCCAGTTTATAGGCAGGAAAGAATGTGTTAGTATAATTTTAGTTTTATTTATCTTACTATTAATAGTTAAATTGAACATCTTTTCCTGTACTTGAGATATTTTTTGTTTTCCTTTTCTGTAACATGTATATACTATCCTAGTCTCTATTTTGCTCTTGATTTTTTGTCTTTAATCAGTTTGTAGGAATTCTTTATGTAGTTAGAGAAATTATCCCTCTGCCTGTGATAGAAGTTTCCCCCCAAATTTGTTACCTGTCTTATAAAGGGCTTTGTCATGTAGATTTTTTTTAATGTCAGATTTGTCATTATTTTCTGTAATGGCTTCTGAATTTGGGATCATAGAAAGTCCTTTCCTGCCCCAATTTTACAATTTCTCAATGATGTCTTCTTGTTCAAGCCTCTTTTAAAAAACTGAAACTTCAATTCATTAAATTGTTATAATGTGTTAAAATGAGGATCTGGCTCCAACTTTTTTTTCCAGATGTCTCAATGCTATTTTTTGATTGTTCTATCTTTATTTACTTGAGATTCTATCTTTATTATATCTCAATTCCTATATATGTTTGGGCTTTTTCTGGATTTTATATCTGGTTCTATTGATCGACCTCTTCATTCAGTAGTCTTATGCTTTAAATTTTGTTTTATTATTAGGGTTTTATAATTTGTTTTGCTTTATGACAGGGCTAATATTTCTATACCTTTTTTCAGGCTTTTTTCTTTCTACTCTGGCTTATTTTTCCATATACATTTTAGTGTCATTCATTTACATTTCAAAAGAAAAACAAATGTTTTCTCCCCACAACATTTCTAACTCAGGTTAATTTATATCATTAAATGAAGTAATAGTACTCCCATAAAAAATTATAAATTGAAACATGTTTCAATATAAAGGGAAACATTTTAGTTGTTAGTATTACATTAATATTTAAAACATAACTGTAAGTACCTTATCCTTTACATGAGAATGCCTGCTGCATATAAACTCACTGTATTATTCATATATTGGTTTTTAGATGATTCTCAGTCTGGATCTAGGTCTGAATTACTCTAATGCTTTTATGCTCCAGTTCTCTTTAAACTTTGCTAAGGAGGAAAAATGTTAAGTGTAAAATATTTGTTAGCTTGCAAAAATAAATATTGAGTATATTGTTCAGTGACTGAATCCCAAGTACATAATGCTGTGCGACTCTAATATACATGCGTGTTTATATATGCATGGTTTTAACATTTCAACATTTTAGAATCTCATCTGTATACTTAATTTTTCTTTAAAATTTTCTAGAAAAGCAGTCTTGACTTTTAGTCAGATTTTGACAAATATAGAGACAGCTATTAGCCTCTACTTGAATAAATGTTCTGGATTAAATATTGTTCTCCATTCCCTCTATGGAGATACTGATTGATAGCAATGGAATGCTGAAAACTCAAGAATGGCCTGTCTATTCATTTCTACTCTGATCAGTTGAATTGCATGCTTTCTAAAGTATTCATCATCCTTTTTGTAGAAACCACAATTCTACAATTCTTTTTTTTTTTTTTTGGAGGGGTGTCATATTTTATCACTTTATATAATATTTAATTCTGTTATATAATTTAATAAATAACCACCTGCCATAAAATATTTCACCAATATTGTGCTTGACCATTGTTGTTTAGAATAATTCTGAAATAATTTGACATGTTTTATTCACAAAATCTGATCTAATGATCTTCTATTTTTCTCTTCAGTCTATACAGTAACCCAAGTGGGATGCCTCCTTATGCTTCTCAGGGCTTTCCATTTCTTTCTCCATATTCCCCACAAGAAGCAAACAGAAGTATCACTTCTTTATCTGTTGCTGACACGGTTTCTTCTTCAACAACAAGTCATAGCACAGCCAAGCCAGCTGCTCCTTCATATGGCGTCCTTTCAAACCTGCCATTACCTGTTCCCGCAATGGATGCCTCAATACCGGTTGGTATTGTCAGTTATCTACATTTTGTGCCACTGAAACATTTATTCAGTCAACACACGTTTATTACATGCCTCCGTGTACCAGCCACTAAGTTAGACACAAAATATAAAAAGATTAAATCACATTTTTAAATTCAAGTAACGAACTCAGAAAGATAACCAACAAATAATAACTTAAAATATCGAGCTTCTAGTTCTGGTGGAGTAGAATAGACAGCTAGAGTTTTGGTAGACACAGTTAAGGGAATGGTCAGTGCTCCTAGGGACCAAGGTAGAACTAGTAGATTGCCTTTACAATAATGTGATTCTGTTTTTTTTTTTCACCACTTTCGTGGTGATTCAAGTGGTGCATAATAAAGATAGCAGGTGCTGAGTAAAAATGAGGCAGCTAAGCAAATACAAGCACTTATGCTTGAGCCCAGAGTTTGAAAGATTGTTATTAATATGCCAGAATAACAAGGGGATATGTGAAAGCCAGTAACACCGTCAGAGGCATTGAGGTATAAGCCAGATGGCATTTTTGTGAAGCTGCCTGTAGATCTCTCAGGCTGCCATATAGGGTGTGGGCAAAGGCAGAAAAATGATCATGTGGGAGCAGCACATGTCACATTTTGATGGGTCTGCCAAAGTATGCTGAGGGCTTCAAGTGTTCCATTGGCTTAAAAACTTGTATGTTCTTAAGCTGGTAACTGTTGCTATGTGGAATGTTACTGCGGGAGAGATTAATACTTTGGACATAAAACATTTAAAGGGGCAAAAAAATCTTTTCAATTATAACCCTCAGTGACTTATCACCCATAGTGTAGTACTCAATTATAAAACCATACTATATCCAACATTACTGGTTTCAGAGTTTATAATCATTTAGAATATATAAACTCAAGTGGACTTTGTTTTTCCAAAACTTTTCATTTTATTGTGTTAATGAATGTTAGGAACAAATTACAATTAGCAGTATAAACACAATTACAAGAGGATTTTTTCAAGGGTCCTCAAGGATAAACAGTGGCTACTCGATTCCCCATCTACCCCTGCTGTCTCATCTAACTGACACATGTAAGTATTCAGACTGTTGTTAAACTATTGCTTTTCTATATGAAATGCCTTTCACTTCAGAGAAACATATTCATATATACCAATGAAATCTATAGCCATACACTTAGACAAGAAAGAGAACTACTAGTTCTCCACCTAACACAGGTACTCACATGGCCCTCACCAAAAAAAAAAAAAAAAAAGTAATCCTATGAATACTATGCTGAAAAAAAGATAGACTGAAGGAAGAAGAGGAGATTAAGGCCATGTGAGATGTGAAGATGAAAATATGATAATGAAAACAGTTATGGGATACAGTACATTAAAGATGACATTTATTAGTAATTGAAAGCAGTTAAAAAAAATGGCTGACATTTAATAATATCATTTAAAACTTTTCTTTAGACAAGCCAAAATGGTTTTGGTTACAAGATGCCAGATGTCCCTGATGCATTTCCAGAGCTCTCAGAACTAAGGTAAAAAACCTGGAGAGTAAAGTTGGTGACACTGTCTACTTTATTTGTAAGCATAAACCAAACCATTATTTCATATCCATATTAAAATAACTGATTTTTTAAATCTTCACTTCCTATACAGTATGATGGGTGTCTTAGTGGGAAAGTTTTAAAAATCAGGTCCTATATAGGTTGTATTTGTTGAGGGACTAGTACATACTCAGGGATTTTTATAGGATTTTTATAATGATACAATAGTTATTAAGATAACAAGGTCCTTTCTCTCATGTGGCCTGCATTCTTTGAAAAGTATTTTTAAATACATTATTCCTGACAATTTCAAAATATATCTTGGCCTATTTTAGATCGTCCATTAGGAGATAAACTTTAGGAGATAAAGTTCCTTTAGGAGATAAACTTTACATATAGAGAAATAGATTAAAGTTATCATAAAGTATTGGGTGTTTTTACAGAGCCAAACTTTTATTCAAATTTATAGCAGAAAAGTTTATAATCAAATTTAAGGTGCAAGTTTTTCATGGAACTTTGCTTCTCTAAGATGCTTCATGCAGAAAATGGCTTTTGGCCATTCAGTTTTGGGAAGCATTGTGTCCTTTATACTCCCATTGAGAGTTCGTGATACTGATAAGGCTCTTATTGCTAAGACTACTGAATGAAGTTAAACCTTTTTTTTTTTTTGCAGTTCTTTTTGTCTTTAGGGTATATCTCATCAAAGACGTACAGCCAGGAACCCATGAGAAATCCTATAGTTAATGGGTTTAACTTTATTTGCATCAATGTTTTATAGTCATTTTGAGGAAATAGTGATTTGTTATCTTCTGTAATGATAAATTAATATTTACAGTATACTGCATGCATGTTAAAGGTTAATATGCGTTGTAATGCTTACAATAACCCCATAAGGAAGTTTTCATTTAATCAGGTTATCTTTTTTGCTTTTAAATTTTTTAAAATAATTGTTGTGAAAACATCAAAAATACAAAAAAGGTGAAGAAACTAGTATGATGAGCCTCCCTGTGTCCATCATGTGGCATGAACAGCTGTGAACCCTTTTGCTCACTGTACTTCATGCCTCCTTCCATCCAGCCTTCTTGGAGGGCTGTAGGTATGAGTCACGATTATTTTAAAGCAAATATCAGATAATACATCCTTTTTACCGATCAGTTCTTCAGTAAATTTCTCTACCAGGTAAGGATTTTCTTTCCTTTTTTTAACCATAACCCCAATCACCATCATCATCATACCTAACAAAATTAATGATAATTCTTTAATATTACCTTATTTCTTCAGTGTCTTAATAATTAATCTTTTTGTTGGTAGTTTGTTTGAGTCAGGATTCAAAACAAGTTCCACCTATTGCATTTGTATAGTGGATCTCTTAAGTTCCTTTTAATCATTGAACCATTTCTCTACAACCTTTCTCTTTTACACACACATACACACACACACACAGAGACACACTTAGACATATACATAAACATTAATATGGGAATAAATACATGTAGATGTACATACATGCATACATATATATTATACTTAGTGTATATTTATTAAATTGGTTATTTGTCCTATAAAATCTTCCAGGTCCTATTTTTTCCTTAGTGCCTCCTTGTGGTACCATTGAAGGTGTTTCCCTCTTTCCCATAGTTTATGCTGCTGGTGGCTAGAAGTAGACAGGGTTCAATTCTTTTGCCAATACTTATGTCATAATTAGTGTATGCTTCCTATTACATCGCAAAAAGCAGCGGTGAGGTTTGGTTGCCCTTTTTTTAGTGATACTAAGATTATATCAGATTAAAGCACCTGAAATCATTGACTATCATTAACTCAGTAGTGGTTGTAAATATGATTTTCTGATTTATCATTACCACCAGAATTTATTAACCAGAATTACTATATGAAGAACTTGTCTTAACTACATATTTAGTTACACTGAAATACACCTCATACAGGAGCAAGAAAAATGCTTAATATTTCCCCTTATAGTATCAACTTTCTCAATAATGAGTTGATGCAGTATCCATCTCCAGAAGTTATTCTGATGGGTGAGAAACTCAACTTGCCTTCTATATAATTTCTGACAAAGTAAAGATGCTATGGGCTCATCATGAACATTTCTTCTTCTAGACCTACAGTGGGCCATTTCTCTCAAGGACACTTGTTCTTTTCCAGAATAACAATACCACTATTGTTACTAAGGTTATTGAATGCAGGTTAAATTTTTGATTTTGTGGGTTTCTTTTTTTTTTAGATGGAGTCTCGCTCTGTCGCCCAGGCTGTAGTGCAGTGGCACAATCTTGGCTCACTGCAGCCTCTGCCTCCCCGGTTCAAGCAATTCTTTTGCCTCAGCCTCCCGGGTAGCTGGGACTACAGGTGCACACCGCAATGCCCAGCTAAATTTTGTATTTTTACTAGGGACAGGATTTCACCACGTCGGCCGGGATGGTCTTGATCTCCTGACCTTGTGATCCGCCTGCCTTGGCTTCCCATAATGCTGGGATTATAGGTGTGAGCCATTGCGCCTGGCCTGTTCTTGTTTTTTTACAGTTCTGTTGTCTTTGGTATGTGACATGCCAGAATATACTGTTGTTATTGTTTTTTTAATCTCTTCAAATAATTTTTCCCCGGATGTTTATATAACTTAGAAAAAATGGGTTTATTTATTTTTACAGCAGTCAATTTTCTTTGAATTTTAAAGACTGCTTTTTTTCCCTTTTATTTAATTATCTTCAAATTATCCAATATTTTTCTATGGCTCCATAGTCAAAAATAAGATTTGCTTCTATCCATATTCCCTCTACCTAGTTTTCTCGCCATACAAATACCCATTTTTGTTTTTGGTTTAGCCCTCCATTATTTCTTTTCTTTAAATATTTTATGAATATATGTACACACATAAACATCTACACACAGAAATATATCTATAGCTCTTACTGTGACAGCCACACATCTGTAAGCTAAATAGGCCCAGAGGTTAAAGCAGAGTTGTTGTGACTGCTTATGCACCTTTTCTTACTGGTCCTACAATAACTGGCAGTATATACAAGCAAAGAGTATTTATCTTTTAGAGTCTTGGGAGATTTTACTAGCTACATTTTGGCCAACACATCCTTGGAATAAGGCCCTGAACTGGTCTAAAGCTGACTAGATAGAACAATTTTCACATAAAAGTTTTTCACAAGCCAAAATGTTACAGTAACTACTCTGGCCTCTTTCCAGTTCTGTTTCCCTCCTGTCCGTACATACAAAGAAATGATTAAGAAGAAATTCTTCTAATGCTTGCTTATCTGTGGACTTTTACTCCTCTTAAATTTAGTGTAGTACTAGTATGTTCAACATTATGCTTGGAAGAAATAAATAGCTTAAATTTTACATATCAGTCTGGTTCCTATCAGAGAAATTTAAGAAATAAGTGGTATTGTAAAGCAATTAAGTTAAACAGATTTTAGAACAAGAAAAAATACTTAACTACATACTGCTTTCCTATTTTAAGAAACCTAAGCTGAATAAGGGAGAACCCTAGTTTCATGCATTTTTCTTTACTTGAGTTAAGTTACTTTGTCTTTAATTTCAGGTCACTGTATAACTCTGAATAGTTCTCCACAGTTGTGATTTTTAAAGAAAGTAGATATATTGATAAATCCATTGGACCAGAATTTACTTTTACGGATTCTGTTGAGAATGTATTACAGACTGCTTTATGTCCCATTGTGGTTGATGTTTTACATGATTTTAAGGTTAAAATTGGCTGCCTTATGTGTATATGTAAAAATTATGTAAACCCTATCAACTAAATAAAGCTAAAAAATTATAAATAGTTGTCTTGGAGAAAAAGTTGATATCTGATATTTATTAACGTTTTTTCTTTTGTGTTTCTAGTGTGTCACAACTCACAGATATGAATGATCAAGAGGAGGTATTACTAGAACAGTTTCTGACTTTGCCTCAACTAAAACAAATTATTACTGACAAAGATGACTTAGTAAAAAGTATTGAGGAACTAGCAAGTATGTCTTCCCTGTTCTCAGCTCAAATTTTCTGAAAAAAATCTGGTTTTTACCTAGAAGTAAACTGGAGATTTACCTTACAGGAAAAAATCTCCTTTTGGAGCCCAGCTTGGAAGCCAAAAGGCAAACTGTTTTAGATAAGGTGAGTTAGTGATCATTTAGAAGAGATTTGTATAATTTAAAAATAGAATAAAACATCCTTTCATTTTCTCTTTTAGTATGAATTACTTACACAAATGAAGTCTACTTTTGAAAAGAAGATGCAAAGGCAGCATGAACTTAGTGAGGTAAGACTGTTTAGCTTTTTCTCTTTGCCATAGAATTTTCTTTTCTTTTCTTTT